ACCTATATCCACACAAAAATGTACACATGGATGTTTATAGAAGCTTTAATTGCTAAATCTTAAAAACAACCAAAATGTACTTCAGTAGGTGAATGAATAAATAATCTGTGGAATAGGAATTTTTTGTTGTTGTTGTTGTTGTTTTTTGGTTTTTCTCCGGTGCTAGGAACTGAACTCATGACCTTGCGCTTGCCAGGCAGGCGCTTTGCCACTGAGCTAAATCCCCGGCCCCTCAAAATAGGAATATTATTCACTACTGAAAGGAAATGAACCCATTAGGCCATGAAAGGACATGGATAAGCCTTAGACACATTTTACTAACTGAAAGAACCCAGTGGGAAGAGGCTACATCTATAGGATTTCAACTACATGACATTCTAGAAAAGGCAAAACCATGGAGACAGTAAAGACTAGTGATTGTCAAGAGCTAAGGGGGAGAGAGGAATATATAGGTGGAGCATAAAGGAATTTTTTAGTGAAACTATCCTGTATAATACTATAATAGTGGATATTTGTCATTATAAATGTATTCAACTCCAGAAGATGTACATCAAAAGTGAAATCTAATGTGAAGTATGGTTTTGGGGTAATGTGTCAGTCCAGGTTCATCAAATGTGATGAATGTACCACTTTAGTAGGGAATTTTGATAAGGGGGACATCTGTGTAATAGGTTGGAGGGTATACAGGAAATTTCCATGTCTTTGCTCAACTTCTCTATAAACCAAATACTTCTTTAAAAACATAAGGCCTATTTTTAAAATTACCAAAATATTTGGATAGAAACCCAAAGAATATGTACAATTGTGGCCAATAAGCACATGAAAATATGGTCAACAACATTAGTCATTAGAAAATGGAAATCAAAACCACAAGGAGAGGGCTGGGCGTGGTGTTTCATGTGTGTAATCCCAGTGCTTGGGAGGCTGAAGCAGGAGGATCACTATGAGTTCAAAATCAGCCTGGGCTGCATAGTGAAACCCTGTCTTAAAAAAAAAAAAATCCAGAAGAAGGTTGTAGGATGGGTATAACCAAACAACAAAAATGGAAAAGTGCATTTCAGGTGGTGGAGAAATTGGAATCATAGTAATTCCAGAAGGAATGAGAAAATGGTATAGTCACTATGGAAAAGTTTGATACTCCATCAAAAAGTACATTTACAGAATCGTGTAAAACATGAGCATACATGGCCAGTTAAGAGAACCAAGAGTGGTTTTCTAGATGCATAGGGAAGAGTTTTAGGAATAGTCATGAGCCAGATGTGGTGGCACTTGCCTGTAACCCCAGAATTTGGGACACTGAGGCAGGAGGATTGCTGAGTTTGAGAACAGCATGAGATACATAATTCAAGGCTAGCCTGAACTATAAAGCAAAATCCCTTCTCAAAAAAAAAAAAGAAAGAAAGAAAAATGGAGGGCTGAGGATATAGCTCAGCAGCACAAGCGCCTGCCTGGCAAGCACAAGGTCCTGAGTTCAATCTCCGGTACCAAAAAACAAACAAACAAAAAATGGAATAGTCCAAACATCCAATTTCCCGTGTGCTAATTCCACTGTCACTAGACAGCCTTTTCATTATGATTTGGCTTCTTATGTAGACTGCAGATTCTTTCTTTCTCCTTCCTTCCTTCTTTCCTTCCTTTTTGTTTGTTTGTTTTATTTTGTTTGACAGAAAATTTGTTACCCAGAATTTTCTGCTCTTTCTCACAGTTATATTTTTCAAACGAAAATTTGATTGGAGTGTTCCCTTCAGCAGCACATATACTAAAAATTAGATTGGTATTTTAGGGCCGGGGAGAAAGCTCAGCGGCATAAGCGCCTGCCTGGCAAGTGCAAAGTCCTGAGTTCAATTCCCGGTACCAAAAAAAAAAAAAAAAAAAAAAAAAAACCTGGCATTTTAGTGTTATAAGTGTTTTCTGATCATTTTGCTGAGACAAATTAACCCTCTGCCTTCTTAATTTTAGGTCAGATATGTAGGCTTATAACCCTATTACTCACCAAGAGCATTTGCGAGAAATTTTAGGATGAGCGGCACGCAAACAGGTTTGAGCTGGCTAGAGACAGGCGGTGGAAGTTTTGAGCCTTTATAAAGTCTCGCGGGTGTGGCTGGACATTAGTTAGTTTGAAATTTCTGCCGATGCTGAAGGAAATGGCCAGCAGGTTGCAGAGTTGCCAAATATCACTGAAAGAAATGGCCAGAGGATCAGATAGCTGCCATTTTTATGAGCCAGAGACAGAAACACGTGTCTGCTGATTTGTTAGTTTAAATTCTCACGGAATTTAAATCGCGCAAAGGAAACGGCAAGTCTGCTTTCTTATCAGCCTGTCTAATTTTGAGATGATCACCTTTCCATGTTATTTTGATTTTTATCTGTCTTTTTCAGTGCAGCTTATTGTTAGGGCTCGAAGCAGATGGCCTCATAGATGTGAAATAAGAATCTAGTTCAAATAGGAAGCATTAGTAGAGTTCACTGACTGGACTTGTGTATCTGTCATAGAACAAGCCACACTATGAAGTCTGAGTGGCTCGTGAGAACTGATCCCCTGATGGTATAGACCTCATGAGAAAACTAGAAGAGGAAACATTCTTTACAGAAACAAAATGTTGAGAAAACGTTTGTGAAAAACAGCATTTTGGCAAGTGGTTTTTTCTGTTTCCTTTTTCTTTTCCTTTTTACCACTGTGCTACATCCCCAGCCTTTTATTTTTGATTATGAAACAGAGTCTTGCTAAATTGCTGAATGGCCCAGGTAGACTTGAATTTTAAATCCTCCTGCCTCAGCCTCCCAGAGTGTTGGGGTTACAGATGTGTGCCACCACACCAGGCTCAGTATTGTCCTGTATGTTAAAATTTGAGGACTCCTTTATATTTTTCAATTTTTTCTTTACATTTTATTTGTTTAAATATTGGATTTGGTCCCCTCTTGTATAAGGTTGTACCGTTTTCCGTGTTTGCAGCAGAAAAATGGGGAAATGGGTGGTGCTGTTGAGCAAGTATAGGGACTGTAGACAGTACAGTGGCTGCCAGGGAACTGCTTTTGACTTTTATACCACATTTTTGAGTGATGACTGTCCCTGTGTACTTGTATAAATATTGTGCTGGTCACCAATTTGCTATTTTTTTTTTTTGGTACCGGGAATCGAACTCAGGACTTCGCCCTTGCCAGGCAGGTGCTGTGGTGCTGAGCTATATCCCCCGCCCTTACTGTTATTTTGCATTTGGAGAGGAGAAAAATCACATGGAAGGCTCACGCAAGCGATTACAACACTTAGTAGTTTCCTATCTGGCTTTACGTGAAGTTTGTTTTGTTTTTTTGTTTGTTTGTTTTTGTCTTTTTGAGGCAGGGTCTCACTATGCAGTTCAGGCTGGTCTTGAGCTCACTTTGTAGCTGAGGCTGGTCTCGAACTCGCTACGATCCTCCTGCCGCAGCCTCCCAACTGCCAGGATTACAGGCATGCGCCACCATGCCCGGGCTTTACGTGAAGTTTTGTGGACTTATTCTCTTTTTAAAATATCACTTGTAGCTGGGCATGGTGGTGCACGCCTGTAATCTCACCACTTGGGAGGCTAAGGCAGGATGATCACCATGGATTTGAGGCCAGCCTGGGCTACAAAGCGAGTTCAAGGCAAGCCTGAACTGCATAGTGCAACCCTGTTTCAAAAAGACAAAAATAATAAATAAAAATAAAATATCATTTGTGTTGTTAAATTTTGTGGATTCACCCTTTCATATATGATTTACAAGGAAAAATGTTTTTCTGGATTTTAAATTTGGAAATGAGTCAGATGATGTGGTCCATGCCTATAATTCCAGTACTTGGGAGGCTGAGGCAGGTGGATCTCCATGAGTTCTAGGCTAGCCTGGGCTACATAGCGAGTTCAAAATCAGCATGTACTACATAGTGAGACCCAAACAAACAAAAAACTTGAAAATGTACCCGGCGTAATGGTGTACACCTGTAATCCCGCCACTGTGTGAGGCTGAGGCAGGAGAATGGGTGTTGTTGCCTAGACTAGGATATTTAGCAATTTATCCAGGCTCTGTCATAAATGAATGAATGAATGAATGAATGAATGAATGAACAACAAATAAGGGCCGGGGATGTAGCTTGGTGTAAAGACCCCCTTTTCGGGACTGGGGATTTAGTTCAGCGGCAAAGCGCCTGCCTGGCAAAAGCAAGGTTCTGAGTTCTTACTCTCGGTACGGGGCGGTGGGGGGGGGGCGGGGGCGACCAAAAAAAAAAAAAGACCTCCTTTTCATTAGTTGAAGGGGGTTGTGAGTAGCAATGCCTTGTATCGAGATAGCTAGACTCTTGAAAATGCCCTCAATCTGTGAAGGAATTATTCAGTGACGTTACGTACCCTTCCACTGTTTTCACTCCGTTTTGTATCATTACAAACAAACTTGTGTACTTTATATTGCATTCAACCAAACATGGTCCCGTTAATGTGGTTTTTTTTTTTTTACATGTGTTGTAACTGGCATTCGAATGACAAAATAAGGAATAATAACTGCAAGCAAAACCATAAATTTAAAACAAACCTGATGAGGGGCTGGGGATTTAGCTCAGCGGCACAGCACTCACCCGGCAAGTGCAAGGTCGTGAGTTCGATCTCTGGTCCGAAAAAAAAAAACTTGATGAAATTAACCAATTACTTAAATAACTTGACTCATATTCCATATACATCTAATAAAAAGCGAGAGGTTTATCAAACAAGATTTAAAAAAAAAGCCTGGTGCCTTTAGACCTTACACATAGGATTCTATATTCACGTTTCCATGTGGTCGGATGCAATATGAAAGACAGACAGGTTCCCCGGTGGGATTGGAATCCCAGTTTGTCCCTCCCCCTGGCCCCACAGTCTTGGCGCGCGGCCCGAGCCCGGCGCTGTTGCCTTCGAGCGAGTGTAAGGCGGCGCACATGTTTGCAACTGCTACCGGGAGTTCGTTAGAAGAGTTACCCGGATGTGCAGGGGCGGAGCCTGCGTCTACCCATGAGGCAGCGCGCGTGGCTAAATACTCTTCGCTGAGAGAAGCGCTCATTGCGCGCTGGAAGTCTCCGTGGCCGCCGTACTTCGGCGGTCACCTAGTATTTTCGCGCTCCTCCCTTTTCTTTCTCCTTCTCCTCGGAGCCCGTGAGGCCGAACTGCTCAGCTCTCGGTAAGCGGCCCCCGCCCCGCGCGTGCCGCGAGGATACAGGCAGCGGCTCTCGCCCGGCCGTGAGGGCGACCGTGGCCGCCCTCAGAGGGTCTTGATGCCTGCGCCGGTCGCCGGGATCCTGTGAGGGGCGGGGGAGGGGAATGGGCTCGGCGGCGAGGCAGCGGGTGGACCACCATCTTGCGTCGGCTGTGGAGGGGGAGGGGGCTCGGAAAGGTAGCTCCTTGGCGGCGAAGTTCGGCCGCCGGGGCAGCTACGTCCAGGGCCTGGGCCGCGCGCCGCCGCTACCGTTACCCCCGCCGCCACCCTCACAGCCGACGCCTCCGTCCCCGCCTCCTCGTCGTCCTTGTCTCCCGAGGCCTGTGACTCTGTCCCCAGGTTAGTTGGGGCTTTTCCATCGAAAGCAGACTCGCTTCGGCCTTTCGTGCGTTCGGTGCCGGTGTTCGACGGAGACCCGCCCACCCCCGGGGCGTGAGGGTGAGGGCTGGGAACTTTGAGGCGCGCGGGCTCCCGCGGCCCCTCGGCGCTTTCTGCCCACGCTCCCCCTCCCCCCACCCGGGTTCCCAGTAATTCCGTGTTCACACTCTTTTTCTCTTGCCAGCGGGACTGCGCTTCTGTGTCAGAGAAATCGTGCTCCGTCCCGTTATTGTCTCGCCTAGTATGGGAGCCCTGAGGAGAAACGTGGAATAGATGCGCGATTTTCTAACCGTGAGCTGTGCCGGTTTTTCTTAAGGGGATGGGGAAAAATGACCTCCTTCAAGGTTTTCGTCAGGAAACTTGCTCTAAAGATGGAAGGACAACTCTCCGCTTACCTCAAGTTTTAATGCTTTTTTTTAAAGTACAAATGTAAGAACAGTGTCAAGTGAGCCAGTTTCTACAGGCACGGGAGACCTTCATCGAAGGGATTCTCTTTGTTTGAAAGAATTTTGTTTTTAAATCTGTGAAAATAAATTTATCGCTGTATTGTTTTCTGTTTAGGACAACGAGTTTTAGTGTCTTTTGGTGCCATTAAACCTAAATTTCAAGCCTTCGAGTTGAGTTTTAAACTATGAGAGTCCCATTAGCATTTGTGAGGCGTCCTTTAGGGGTTACAATGCAAACTCAAACTGTCTCCTTAAGCAAAAACTTCACTAAGCCTATGAAGACACTGGCTTACCTATAAAATTAGGTTGGATCTGTGTACTTTTGGTGCTTTAATATCAGTACAAATTCCAGTATAATTTTGCCTTGCATTTGTTCATTACGTTGACGTTCCCCCTGTGAGGTGGCCAGTAGGATGGTGATAGAACTGTTTTGAAAGTGAGGAAACAGCTTCACAGAGAGGACTACTGACTCAAGTGGTTGGGTTGGGTTTTTTGGGTTTTTTTTTTTTGTATTGGTTTTCTGGGTTTTTTTTTTTGTTTGTTTGTTTTGTTTGTTTGTTTTCTTTGTAGTGATAGAACCCTACACTCCTTCCCCTCCTTTGAGACAGAGTCTTGCTCAGTTACCCAGGCTGGGCTTAGACTTGTGGTCCTCCTACCTCAGCTTCCAAAGTGTTGGGATTACAGCTAGGCATCACAGTACCCAGTTTATGCCCTACTTTTTATGAAACTGTTGTGGTGGAGGTCAGTAAGCAAGGAGTCTGACCTAAATTTTTTGAAGAGATTCTCCTTTCTTTTTGAAATATTTTTTCAACTTTTTAGTATTTAAATATTTCTGAGCACGTCGAAAAGTTGAAAACCTGTTGAAAAATTCTGATGTTGAAGATCAAATCTCAATTTTCCTTTCCAACTTACTTTTTGCAGTTCTATTTTCTAGTCTAGTCTGTTTTTTTGAGTCTAGCATTTTACTAATCACCATTGTCTTTTTCAATAGGGAGGAGGAGAGCAAAGGGAGGGGGGAGGTATACTGTATAGATATATATCGTTCTCTCCCACTTGTTCCCCTTTTTCAGGAGGACATTTAGAACAGAAACACCATTTTTTGTTTTTTTCCCAGTGCTGAGGATGGAACAGGGCCAGGCACATGCTAGGCAGTGCTCTGTCACTGAGCGACACTCCAGCCCACTAAAAATTTTTTTGTGGGGCTGGGGATTTAGCTCAGTGGCAAAGCACCTGCCTCGCAAGCACAAGGTCGTGAGTTCGATTCCCGGTACCGGAGAAAAACCAAAAAAAAAAAAAAATTTTTTTTTGCTGTTATTCTAATTAGGCAGGAGAAGTCCTAAATGCAATAGGAATTTTGGTGAATAGAAAATAATCTAGGAGCCGGGGACATAGTTCAGCAGCACAGCACCTACCTGGCATGTATGAGGTCTTGAGTTCGTAAGTTCAATTCCTGGTACCCCACCAAAAAAATTTATTTATATATATATATAGCTGGGCGTGATGCACACGCCTGTAATCCCAACACTAGGGAAGCTGAGGCAAGTGGATTGCCTCAAGTTGGAGGCCAGCCTGGGCTACATACTGAGTTCAGGGCCAGCCTGAACTAAACAGCAAGAGCCTGTCTCAAAAAAAAAAAAGAAAGAAAATAATCTAACAAATTTACAATTTGGGAAAAAAAAAATCTATGCAATCTCTCTGTCTCTCCATTGAATCCAGGTCCTTCCCTCTGAGCTACATCCGTTTTTTTTTGTGTGTGTGATTCTGGAGATCAAATCCAAAACCTTTATTTGTTTATTGAGACGTGGTTTCACTGTGTAGCTCAGTCTGGCCTTGAACTCACTATGTAGCACAATTTGGCCTTGAGCTCATGGTGATCCTTCTGTCTCAGCCTCCCAAGTGCTGGGATTGCAAGTGTATACCACCATGCCTGGCCTTAGCCCTTTTTTGTATATTTTGAGGCAATTTCTAAATTCTCCAGGCTGGGCTCAAACTTGATACTCCTGTCTCAGCCTCCCAGAGTGCTGGGATTATAGGCTTTTCCCATCATGCCTGGTTTATAGTTTCTAAAAATGGTAGAATATTGGAAATTTATACAGAAAATATTTTGTTATTTAAAAATCACTTCCCAAAGACCAGAAATATTTATCACACATATTCACTAATTAGATATAGAACTGAAAATATTCAGAGGAGGACTTTTAGAAATACTTGATTTTCAGTCAGGTTATTTTAACCCTTCAGAGGTTGTGGCTTATCTGAGGGATAGACTTACATATTCTAAGGGTAACACCTGATCCAAAACCTCAGGGTAAATAATAATTCAAGAAAATTTGATTTGCTCAGTAATTTAAGGGAAAATGTATACCTAGACTTTTTTTTTGTTTGTTTGTTTTTTCTCCGGTACCGGGAACTGAACTCACGACCTTGCGCTTGCCAGGCAGGCGCTTTTGCCACTGAGCTAAATCCCCAGCCCCTTACCTAGACTTTTGAAATTCATTCTCTGCACAGTGATTTTCTTTGAACACATATTTCTGTTTATCTGCTGTAAATCAGGAAAAACAGTCATCACTAGGTACCAACTGGGTTGAATAGCCCCGTTTTATTTCTTACCTTTTGAAGTTTTTTTTTTTTAAATTATTTACTAAGAATAAAGGAATAGTGGAAACTCTATTTATAAGAGTTTATATACAGTATACTTCATACTTAGAAAAATAAAAATTCATTTTAGAACCTTAGAGAATCTAGTTGTCTCTTAATAAGACATACTAAAGGAGCCAGTGTTATATAGCTCAGCAGCACGATGTGTGCCTGGCAAGCACAAGGTGCTGAGTTCGATTAGCAGTACTTAAAAAAGACAGATACTAAAAACATTTAATGCAAAAATATAAACCAGTGCCACACTTAGTAGGTTTTTGTTTTAGAAGAATTATTTTCATTAAAAGTATGTATTTAATGTCTAATACACTTTTATTTTAGAATTTTATTTTCTTTTTACTACTTGTACTCATGGCTTGTGGTATGATTTCAGGTAAAGAAGTTAAGCAAAATACTCAAACATACTGTAGAAGAATTTCTGGCACTTTTCAATAGTGCCACAAGCAAGATATTACTGTTTTCACTTTACAGATAAACTAAGACTCCAAGAGGTTGATTAAGCTTCTTCTATAGGTTTGGCAGCCAGAAGAGGTAAACCCAAAATTTCCATATTTTCTGCCTGTATTTTCAGTGTTTCCACCATGACACTTGACATTTTTTCTGGTAGATAATTTTTACCCCTATAAAGTATGTGTTAATAATAAGTATGTATTTCTTTGGGTTACTTTAGCAATTAAGGATCATAGAATCTCATACAAAGATTATATTTGCAGGTTTTTTTGAGACAAGATCTTGCTGTGCAGTTCAGGCTGGCCTTGAGCTGACTTTGTAGCCCAGGTTGGCCTCAAACTCGGAATGATCCTCCTGCCTCAGCCTCCCACATGCTGGGATTGCAGGCATGCGCCAACACACCTGGCTCATGCAAAGATTATATAAGATGTTTACTATATAGACTAGCTTTGGAAGTCCACAATTATGCAATTAGTCTTTCCCCCAAGCTATATATCTTACATATGAATATGCAGTGATAAAAGTATATTTTTGTTGAGTGCAGTAGCAGGACATACTTACAATCTCAGTGACTCCATAGGCTGAACCCAGAGTTCAAGACCAGTCTGGATAATAGAGCGAATCCCTGTGTCAAAATAAAAAAATAAAACGTGCCAGATATGTAGTTTAGTGGTAGACCACCACTGGGTTAGACCCCCCAGTACCACCAAAAGGAAAAAAGTGTATTTCTAGAGACAGTTTTTAGCCAGAATATAAGATAAAACTGTTTTGCAGAAAGTATATTTTTATTATAGTGCAACATGCCAAAAATGAATACAAAATGTTTTAAAATATAGGAAACTTCACCATGTATTATGCTAATGAATTTTGAATCCTGTGGTAAATTACCCATTTTCTTCATATAGGTGTAGTATAAAAACAGATAAAAACTGAAAACCTAAATTAAGAAAATAGTAAAGTCATTAAAGAAATATCTTCTCAAAATGCAACTGTACGTCATTTATTTAGGCTTTCAAAAATAATTTGCACAATGCAAACGCTTTTGAACAAACAAAGATGGTGCTGGACGTGGTGGTGCACGCTTGTAATTCCAGCACTTGGGAGGCTGAGGCAGGAGGATCGTTGTGAGTTCGAGACCAGCCTGGGCTACAAAGTGAACTCAAGGCCAGCCTGAAACTGCGTAGTGAGACCCTGTCTCAAAAAGACAAAAAAAAACAAAAACAAAAACAAAAAAAAAGATGGTGGTCATATATTTTCTTCCTGAATTAAATGTGATTTGTTCCCCAAAACCTGGTGGGGAGTTTAAATTTCTTAGTTAGCAGTGAAACTGCCTGAAGGAACCAAGATAAAAACCAGTGATGGCAACCTTTTAGAGACAAATGCGTAAACTGCAAGCCCAAGCCCACTTACTTAGCACAAAGTGCCAACACTGCAATTAAACCTGAATTGTGAAGTTTTAGTTTAGAGAAAACAATTCATACATTAACATCTTTTGTCTTAAAAACAAATAAGCACAGGTGCCATAGGTTTGCTATTGTTATAAACCATTGTGTCTTGGATTTGTGTACTGTGCCAGTTAATTCCTCTTTAACATTTTCCTAGACATACCCATACTTAAAATGTTTAAAATATTCTCAGTGTGCTTAACACAACCATAAAATAATAAACAAGTGAAACTACAAAACCAGTGGCATTTGAGCCAACTTTAATGTGTCGAATGAATAATGGATTTTGCTAAAA